CATGACTTCTCGGTGCTCATCCAGCCATTTTCTCTCCCAAAACCTGCTGTTTGCCCCCCAACAGACTCCACTGTATTCTCCAGAATGGGCAGAGCTGTCCAAGTTACGCTGTTCGCTGGTGGTTTTCCACCCAAAGCAAGCCCCCCGTCAAGGACGGAGGCCAGGGGAAGGGTGACCCAGGGACTTTGAGCTTCCGAGCCCACGCACACGCGCACACCCACACACAGGCTCACATACATTCGCACTCAAGAGTCAACTGCCTTGAGTTGAGCCAAGAGCTGCCACCCTGGTTCCCCTTCCCTCTCTCTCCCCGGTGAAGCAGGGGGCCGAGCAACATGGGCGGCCTTCTTCTGAACTGCTGCTGCTTAGTTGCTATGCCCTTCCCAACCAGCGAGCGCATGGTAGGGCTCGTTTCAGCTTGTATCCCTCATTCGGCTGAACGTGCTTGGATTTCTTCCATGCGTTTTCCAGACCTCTCTCTTTTTCTTTCTCTCTGGGTCGTCCGGCCTCCCTCTACAGGGTTGGATCGAATCCATCCGGAGGTTTCTTAGATTTGTGAAATGGTCCATTGCTTGTCTCCCCCGACGACCCTGTCTGCCCATCATACTATGTAGGCTGGCCACTGTTACGCCCACCTCCTCGCCAGTTGCATCATCACCGCCGGCCGGGGGCACTCCTGCTTCTATATCCGGCAGCGAAACCCATGGCATAAGATCCCCAAATTATGCTACCGTCATCACCTACTGGGCAAGGTTAACTTGAGTCTCCGCAACCTACTCAGGAACAGAATACGTCTCGCACATGGCGAATCGCGTATGTGCTTGAGATGTCGGTGACAAAAGCAGCGGCAGTTGATGTACCCTCTTTCTCTCGCCTCACCCCTCCCATGCATGCTTTTCTCCTCTCCTTCGTCCCCTTCTCTCTACCCCCAGAGCAAGAGTCCACACACAGCCCTCTATTCCTCTTTTCGATAAGGCACATCGGACGATATAATGCAGCCCTTGCCCACGTCCGCGCTTCCTCTCTTTTGACCCCTTCACTACTATATTACTTGTCCAGGGCCAAACGGGATTTATAATAAGTCAAGGGAAGATCCCGTGAGCTTAAACGGCGCGTGACAACAACCAGTTGAAAAAGGGTAGCATGGTTACCTCGACCTTTATTTCGTCTTAATAATTTTTTTCCCACCTTACGCCAGTCAAAGGGAACTATCCGTCCGGCCGTGCAGACAGACAGACAGATAGCTCTTCACCACCGGGAGTCAAGTTGTACGAAACCGCAACACCAACTTGATCTTATTTCTCAGCCGTCGTCATCATCATCACCGTCGTCGTCGTCTTCGTCCTTCTCCTCATTTCTCCCCAACATCACTACCGCTAGATTCAACCTGGTCATCATCACAACCACAAAATCTGGCAAGGGCTTGACCGTTGCCACTAGACACCATTCTCCTTCGCTGCCAGCAATACCGCGAAAATTCTCTCCACACCTCCCGGGCACGAATGTTCGTTGAGTCTGGAGGGGGGGTCTCATCACGGCGACACCATAGCGCTGTTACAGGATCGCAGTTTGAAAGACTACCACCACCATCGCGACCCCGCAACGTCGCACCAACAGCCCTCACCTCTCCCGACGCCGCCCGAGAGGGCCTTCGCTCAACCAATTCTTTCACTTCAGAGCCCGGCGACCGTCCAGAGCGGTTCGCTCTGGCGGGACCCATGTGCCGGAAGCACGCTGGCGGGCAACTATCGAGTAGGGGACTACAATGTCGATTATTCTGCACAAGAGTCGCATCCGAGCGACCAGGGCCAACAGCAGCATGGTTATGACACGACGCCCTCACATCATCAACACCATAGGAGCTCTCTCCATCATGGCGCCGCTCACACGCCCACTCTCCACGAGCCGCCCACTAGCCATCACTCCCATCATCCTGGCATGCAGCAACACCAGCAGCACCCTCACCACTCTCACCACTCCCACCAGGTTCTAATGGATCCGGGGCACCATCTGGGCCACGCCCGGCACTTGGGCCCGCCTCACTACGGCGCTCCGGGTCCGGTGGTCGCTCCTTTGTATCCATCCATGACAACGCCTACGCAATCTCATACGCCCCATGGAGCACCGAAAAGACCGAGACCAGACGAGCTTGACTTGTCCGTTCCCGGGATCGATCTTGAACAGACGGACCTCGAGACCATGCAACAGACTCCTCTGGGTACCGCCTATGCGCAGGCGACCCAGCAAGTCCAGGCTCCTACGCATCATCACCACCGACTACCCGATACAGGACCCCCTTCCAAGATGATGAGGCGTGATGGTGACGGCGGAGACAGAGGCGGTGCCCCGAGCGTCGTGGGACAAGCAGGCATGCCGACTCCGGCACCGAGGCCAAGGGGGCCGAAGCTAAAGTTTACACCCGAAGACGACCAGCTCCTGATCGATCTGAAAGAGAACAAATCCCTAACATGGAAGCAAATCGCGGATTTCTTCCCGGGGAGATCATCAGGAACACTCCAGGTGCGCTATTGTACGAAGCTCAAAGCTAAGACCACCCAATGGACCGACGAAACGGTATGTGCTCTTCCCTCCCCTGACTACGATGCCATGCAGCACAGCCAGACGGCGGGGCATGGTAAGGCCGCGCACAGCATTCTGACTTGAATATTCCTCTAGGACCAAAAGCTTCGCACCGCGCTACAAGACTACGAGAATGAGAAATGGCGTATCGTCGCTAACAAGGTCGGAACCGGCTTTACCCCTGCTGCCTGCCGAGAACGCACGCAGGAGTTAATGGGCGGCCCTCCCTTATAGCATTCAATGTCTCCACCGGGAACTTCTGAGCCCCCGGCTGGAGACACAATCTACACGCAGCAGCTTCAGTGATGAAGAGGAGCTTGCCTTTAGCGATGATCTCCATCATGCAACTTGGAACGACACTACCCATCCGGAGCATTCAGATCGACCTCCACGAACGCCGTCCTCCCACTTCGACTCAGCGAGCTGGTAGGGGAGGAAGATCTGCAATAATTTGCCCGACGTCTTTTCATGTAACGACTTGGGTTCGAAAAGCACAGAGAACGCAAGGCCCGAAGAATTGCGCCAGCTCTTCCTCGAACCACCGAGGCCATAAATACTTCTTCGCCATGTTCACTTCGGCTTCTACCTCATACCTGCGACTCTCGAGTGGCATTGTCCTTTTGTTTTGCTGGATTCCCCATCCGCCTAATTCTAGAGATACCCCCGAACACCACGGGTCACCTTTTTTCACTTCATCTTTTTCTCGACCTACTCCTTTATCTCGACTCATGACACAACGCACACACTATAGACTTTGGGGGGCAACACAGCGAACCACGCAATCTACGGCCTTTCTGCTTGTTTTTATCCCTCTCGACGCTCCCTTAGACGATTTTGGTTTTTTCTTCTCGACGATTGTCATCAACTTCTTTTTGGCCCCATCCAAGGATCTACCATTGCCAATTCTCTCGAAATTCGGTTGCACTCGACAGTTTTCCTGCAGCATTTGGTTGTCTACTACACCAACACGCCTGCAGAATCGACTCTCGAAAACTTGGCTGTACTGAATTCAACGGACAAGAGGTTTTAGTGGTGAGCTGGCTATGATGCCTAGGCGTCTTGTGGGTGGAAGGAGAAAAACACAAAAAGGGGAAAAAGATGCAGATGGAAAGACGCATTTTGCATACATGGCGGATGACACACGCAGAGTTTTCGCATCCACGACGACGTCTGTTTATTTTGTTTTGTACTTTTGACCATTTGTTTGTTTTGTTATCTTCTAAACGCTCATTATTTGTTTTTTGTTCGATTCTACCCCACACATCACGCAAATGTACTTTGTAGTATTTGTAGCTTCTTCAACCCCCTTTTTTTTTGCCTCGTCCCAAACTTGCTTCTGCTTACGCCCCATGAAGAGGATCGCAACATGGTATGAAGTGGAACAAAAGCGGCAGCCATTTCTCGAGGTGCTGTTGCTTGAACCCGATTATGTGAAAACAAAACGTGCAGGAAGATGGAGAAACATGTTTCTTTTGCTTCTGTTTATTAATGTATAGTGGAAAATCACAACTAATTCGGTCCCGGTATACCCTATTCGAGAAAGTACAACCCCCCCCCCCCCCCGAGACCCCAAAGTGGGAAACCTCGGGGATAAACTTCTGTGAATCACATTGGCATCGTAATGCAGCAAGCAGTCTGCAAGAAACCATGCACCAACCGCTTCCGGGGAGGACGGAAAGAAGCAAGGTCAGGCGTAGGTGTGTAGGTGGGCAAATCACAAAAAAGCAACATGTCTGTCCTATCATCCATTCCATCCAGCCGCTTCGGGACGGGAGACGCATCAAATGTGCAACTTCTCTTGGGGGCGCGTGTAGTCGAGATTAGGGACCTTTACTTACCTTGGGTCGTGAGCCGCCCCCTTTCACGAAGGTCCCGAGGCCTCGTCCCAAAACGAGAGGCTTCCAAGGCACACACCTCTTTTTGGCCTTGCCACAGTAGCGCGGCCTATTTTTGCGGCCCTGGTGGAGGGGGAAACGGCCGGCCGGAGGTTTTTTGTTCTTGGGTATTTTATTCTACGGGTTGGCGTGCAGTTGACGTGTGGCAGCAATTATATTAACAATCCATTCCGATTCCGCTTTTGGCAGCTGGTTTTGATTACCTTGCCCGCCGCGGCAGCCCGGCGTCCAATCCTCCAACCGATTTGAGTCAGAGTGCAAAGTCCGGGGAACCAGGAACCAGGCCAGGGGCCCCGGGGGGTTGGGAAAGAGTCAAGAGATGGCGCGCGCGCGGGCAGGCGGGCGGTCTTGTTTAGCAGCTGCTAAAATCCGGAAACTAGGCGATAGCTGTATTTTCTTAAGCGATCTTTTTCTTGACATGTTGGCTAACTTGGCTCTTGCTCCCGTTTTAAAAGCCTGTTCCTTTTTTTTGCGTGAAGGACGATGGGGGTCGAGTTTGTTAACTTCAGGCTTCTGCTGTTATTCTTATTTCCCTCTGTTGTGCCTGGGCCTTGGGGCCTTGGGGATGGTGCGTTCGGTTTGGACTTTTGGGCCAATATCGGCTTGGCGAGTAATGGCGGAATGAGGAGCGGGGGGGTTAGAGGGAAGGGAAGGGAATGGCGGCGGGCAGGATTCAGGAAAGAGACCCAAAGGTGCGAAGAGCTCGGAGACGAGGGAACAGGGTAGGACTTCAGAATGGTCCTGCTTTGGCCTGCTTACCTGCCTGCCTTGGCTCTCTCCGTGTCCCTCTCTGTACTTCTCTCTCCTCTCTGGGCTCTCTCCTGTCCCGACACAGAGTTCGCCACATGACCAGATGTGGACAATAACGTAGAGACGGGCTGCAGGTTGGCCCTGTTGTCTGCTGGAAAGACCAGGACCGGCTATCGAGCAGAGGCGAGAAAAAGAAAAGAAGAGGCGCCTCCCCGTAGGGTGTTGGCAATTCTGGTCCTCCGCATGTGCCGAGTTCGGGGTTTGTGATCGAGCAAGATGGTGGCCCTTTTGACGACTTTGTTGTCCTTCCTCCACCCCCCTTACAATGAGCGTCCTATGATCTGGATCTCCCGCTGGCTTCCAGTCTCCAGTCGTTGGTGAATCCATTGATCACTGCGCAGGCTCTCGTTTGGCTCTGCGTCCACCGAGAAAGGTTGGTTTGGCAGCGGCTTCTGCCCGTTGAAACACTCGGCCCCAGGGTTTTGTTCGTTATATGACCCGGGGGATTCTGATATATCCCCCCCCCCCCCCTAGCCCGTCATCTCCCACTCCCAGTCCCCCCAGTCACCCGCCAGAAGGCAAATCCAGGGGGAAAAGAAGCGGTCAATCGCCCCCGGAACGTGACACGAGCGGAGCGGTTCCCACACATGTTGTCATGCCTGAGCCTCTTCCCACTCTCTTCTCGCTGACAGAGATGTAGTGCCATGTATGAGAGGTTGTGAATCGCGCAGTGACAAGTGACGTGACGGGTTAGCCTTGGTCGACGAGGTTCCTGCATGTCACCCCCTATGCAGAGTGATACCTGCATCACTGCATCGGGTACGGAGACCTACGCGGCGCTTCGTCCAACAGTATCGGATACTAGACAGGCCACGGGTGTGAGAAATAGGCAAGGCCAACCGCACCCTGGGGTTCCAGATGTCGGCTCTCGGCTGCTACTTGTGAATGGGGTTACTACCACCCAACTATCGCACACCCCTTCGAGGTCGTGTCCGCCGCTATACCATTGAGACACTTTTTGAACAAATTTAAGCTCAAAGATGTCGTGACTCCCGAGACCACTTTCCGATTGTGGGGGGCCGCAAATCGGACACCCTCTCGCACTTTGCATAGAGAGTAGACCTGAAGCTCCGAAGCCGTACGCGACGAGCGATCAAATCCTTCTGCAAAACATCTAAGCTTTCAGTAGCTGTGACAGTTCCAATCGCAAGAGGGTAGATATCGTGTCGCATGGCGCAGATCAAGCAAGCCAAAACAACAGGCGCCACGATGTTGCGGCTCCAAGGCACCCACGGAAGATTGCCATGTGGTCATGCAAGCGACGTTTGAAAGAGGGAGGGGCGAGAAAAAACAACCCGCTCTTCTGACCATGAAGTTGAACCTTTTCTCCAACCCTACCTCGTTATATGCCCCGTCAGCGGCTCGCCATCTCTTCGGACGAATGTCAACGGGTTCGCGAACTTCATGCTGAAAAAGTCGGTTGGCTCAGCGCATGAGACGTCCCAGGTGAAACTCTTCATGTGCGATTGATAATGGGTTATCGTACGTGAACTGCCGGGCCAGATGGTGAGGATGATCGGTATCTAAGCCGGGGGATGCTTGGCTCGATTTCCTCCAGTGCGAACCAGGGGACATGGTTTATGTGTGATCCCCGGGGCGTCAGCACCGTCATGGCCCGTATCATGGTCTAGGGCTGATATGGTTGTCTGGCGGGTCAGTCGGCCGACTATGTGCAAACCAGCTATGGTCGCCGCCTTTAGATCTCAAGTATGAACACTTAATATTGGTAGCAGGCCTTGGCCTGAGTCTCTCGAATCCTCGAATCCGAGATATTGCTGAAAAGACCAAAGTTGACTTTAAAATTGTGGTCAAGGAACCCTTGCGGCGGCCTTTCTCCCACCCGGTTGCTCCGTGTCCCAGCCCGGAAAGCTTGGATCAAGCGGCTGACTGCAGCCAAGGACCTCAGCGCCGAGCATATGTCGGGTTTTACCGATTGCATAGCCCTGAGTAAGAGAACGATTTTCGATTCTTTCAAGGCTCCATTCTTTGAGTTGAGGAAGAGAAAACCGAATGTCAATAGCCAAAGAAACACTCTTCGAAGATGCGTCATGCGGGTTGACGCTGTGATGTAACCATGCAGCAACGCTTTTTTCGTACCTGTTCGAGTGCCAATCAGGACTTAGTCGGCCCTCCGTTGCCACGGTGGGCATTAAGAGTCGGCGTGAGATCAGCGTGATGTATGCTAGAGAATTTCTGTAATTCCTCTTAGAAATGGGCTTGGTCCGGTAGCTTGGCTGCCCCAAATCACTCGCCTGTGGGATGTTGTTAGCCTTGTCGAGATTGAGGTCGTCCACAGTCTCCGCAATGGGCTGACAAGAACCCATTAGACAGGCATCGCCAGGAAAATCTCCGTCAAATATGCACCGGAAGTTTTCTTTCAACCCCTGTCGCCCAATCGGAGAATTGAGGCATCAATATGAACTGGATCCATATGTTGGGAAATGGAGCGCTGATGATTAGCAATCACTGGGTCCGCCGTTCTCTCCACCGCGTGGCTCTCTCGCAACCCAGAGGGACACTGCCGGTCATGATTGTTGCATGGCGACACTCGACTGAAGAGGAGGAATTGATTGTCTCATTGGATTGAGGTCTCGAGGTTGCCGTGTGCCCTGAGCTCCGCTTCTTATTTCGCCGCTTGGCAATCCATCGGCCTGCCATCGAGCATCCAGGGGTTGTCATGTTTGAGGGAGCAAAAGCAAGCTCTAGACCGAATGCAAGGAACCGGATCTTGCTGCTATAGAGGAAATGGCGTGACTTCAAGCCAGATGATCCCAAGATCCATGCTGACTCTAGATCGAGCTTTTCAACGTCTTTGAACTGGTAGCCCGCCACTGACGATCCACTTCTTATGACAGATCAATATCGAGATTGTGTGGGCAGAACCCGGTGCATTGCTAGCTTCCACTGTATAAGTTGACAAACGTAGCCGTTTCAATCCACGAAGACCGTCCACTCATTGTTTCTGGCGGTTTCTTTTGTGATCGCACTGGACTGTGCTTCTCTTTGATGTGTTTAGCAAACTTCGAGACTCCTTCCATGGCACCCACACGATGATGTGTGCGATGAGAGCAGTATGCCGCGCACCAGAAGGCGGACTTAAGCAGCATTAGTTATTAGGCAAATCTACTGCTCGTCATAAAATGCCAGAGGGCGTGAGCGTAGCTTCGCATGAGTTTTCTCACACACCTCGGCGGCATCGTCGGCAAAAGGTAAGCGGCGGGTGCAAATCCTGAGGGGCCAAAAGTGTGGGCGTTTCCTTGGAAGGAAAAGTCTTCTGGTCGGGTACTTCCATGGCAGTCGCTGATGTTCCGTCCGCCCCTGACGCGATACACCACTCCTGGTGGGCTACCAGTATATCACGCCTGATATTATGGCTATAATGTGGTCTCTTAAGGGGTGGCAAGCAAGCGAACGTGGCAAATGAAGTAGACCACCTCGGGTGCAACTGCACACCAAATCATACTAACAGGCTCCGGGATTGCCTTGTAAAGGGCACACGAGTCACCTTTGCAGGAGACTGTGCCACGTTGGCATACCGCGAGTATGGCCAGTGGCTTCCCTAAGAGCGTGATTGCCGGACGGATGAAGTCGCCCGCCGAGGTTCGGCACCTGTGGACGAAGTCTTCGAAACAAGGTCGCCCCGTAGCTTCTACGACAAATTCATGCTGGATCTCTGCCGTTGATTCGATTTGATTCAGTAGGCCGTTGGACGGCATGCCGGTGTCGTCTAGTTTGCGACCAGTCGAGTGACTGAATGGAGTGCACGACCATCAAGAGGGTTGTACCCTGGACGTTTAATATATTTCCAGTATCATCGCGGTCGATCTCGTAAAGTGTTGGACTAAGATCGACGATATTCTGGGGAATGCGAACGTGTCATCGCGTCTTGCTCAGCGACTCGTCAGTGTTCTGCCGTATTGTGACCTGGGCCAAGCAATGAAGCGGTGTGAATACTGGATTCAAGCACTGGCAAGTCTACCTTAGTGGTGTTCTCCTAGGTTGGAGAAGTGCTGGCCGAGAGACTCTTCGTTCAACACCGTGCCATTTTCCACAAGATCGACGAGATTCTTGTGATGGACAACGTTAATCCCACACTCGAGATAGGCAGCCATCTCAACTAGCCATCCGTTGAACTCGTTGACCTCAGTTGGTTTGCCAGCACGAACGTCTTGGAGCATGGAGCTCGTATTTTCTCGGACCTTTTGTCCAACACTGTAAAGCATTTCCTTGAGCTTGTCGTAAGAAAAGCGGTCCAGGAGATCGCTACGTTGAGGACCGTACTTGCGGATCATCTCGTTCTCCGCTGCCAATGGCATTCCAGGGACTGTTTGTAGGATAGATTCGGTGCTTCGGTCTTTAATCAGGGCTTGAAGAACATTGCTGGCTTCCATCAACAGGGAATTGATAATGCTCGCTATGGGGCCGTCCTGTTTCGTGAATAGATCGCCATTTTTGCAGCGAAGGATGGCGGTTAGTGGGTTGATGACAGAGTTGACCACGAGTTTCTCCAGCTGCAATACCCATAGCTCGTTGCGTGCTACGACATGGCCGTTGAGGTGAGGTGATTCGGCGAGTATATTCGACAGATAAGAGCCGTTGTTGCCAGAATTGTTTGGAAACACAAGTCCAACCTTGAGGTCTGCCTTGGAGGCATGTAGACTCTTGAACTGGCCCAACGAAGTCACTCCGTGGGTTGTTACACAAGCCAGCCAGTTGGGATGACGAGCAGATGCATCTGCATACCGCGATGCCATGTAGGAGTCGCCGTGAGGTGGCCAAAGTTTGCACATGCCGTTTTGAGCAAAAGCAACCGTGGAGCGGTCATTGAGATAGCGACGTGCTCGATCAACCTGCGGAAGAGCTTGGGATGCCTTGGTCGTTACGATCAGGTTGGAAATCTCTTGTCCATCCGCAACCTCTCTTGTTGGACCTAAGATCGGTTCTTCTTCGGACCATAGCTCCACATCGAAATCCAAATACTTTTGCGTAGAGTCTCCCCGAGTGACCTCGATACCTGGTTGCTGTCTCCATAACAGCAGAAGCTCTTTGCGGTGAACAACGAGGGTTATCGGTGGTGGATTAGGTAGAGACGCAAGCGAGCTGGCAAAGAGAATCCCTAAGTTCCCAACGCCAAGAACGTAGATACGCTGTTGGCGATTGCGGTGTTGTTGATGAAAAATTGATCCATCTGACCGACTGGCCGAGGGGCTCAAGACTGAATTATTTTGGTCCAAGTTGGACAGGCTCCAAGCATAGAGCTTGGGTGCGCTCTTCTGAGGCAAATGATCGAGGTAGGGTTGTAGCCAGACGGGAGCCATCTTGGGAGCGCTCCGTAGGGTCGACGAGGGACGGTGCTTGGACCGAAGGCCGTGGCCGACCGTTGAGAGAATGCCAGGTGAAGGGCGTTTAATCATGGCCGAGAACAACAAATATAATTGCCGGCGTAGTTGTATACGAAGTTTTCTTTCTGATAGACGCAACAGGTTTGGATGTAAGGTAGTTGAATCCCAGCAATGACAAGATGAGTAGAGAGGTGCGCACGGAGTACCCTTGTAGGAGCTCCTTCATGGCACCAGAACGCCGCATTAGTCAGGTGTGGCTGCCCTTCCCATCCTCATTGTGGCTGCAAAAGAGCCTCCGGCCAGCAAGTGCTTATCTAATATAAGTCCGCATGCCGATAGAATTGGAAGCCTGGGACTGACAAATCCTACCAATCAAATTCGTCACCAAGTTTTCCCATTAAGATCCCTGTTCAGAGCAGCTGACTGCGCGAACCGTTCGCTCCTGCCTTGCCGTGGCGTCATCGTTTTCCAGAGAGAATCGCTGGTGAACGCTCAAGCCTGACGCGCTGCTGCCTGTCCTGAATCTTTGCCTTACAATCTCACCGGAGTGAGTCACCTTTACAACACACACGATTATCCTCACGACGGTTTCTTGGAATCCAGATCTTGCATGTCGCTCACTTGGCTTGGTACCTACAGGCATGTCCACCACCTGAGCTCATATCCATTCTCAACTTCACTTACGTTCCCATTTTTCAACCACCGACACTGCTGTTTGTCTGTTGCGCAACTCGCTGATCAAAACCGGCCTCATCAAAGATCTTGGGGCTCGCAATCTGGAATATCGGGCATGGGTTTATGAAAACTCTCCGTCATCGGATCTCAAGATGTCGCCCGACAAAGAAGATGGCGGCATAGTTGCCGAGAAGATAAGTGAGGAAAGCGCACCCTCTAGCACTGAAGCAGATGCACCCAGAACCACAGCAGTTCAGTTTGAGGGAGACGAGGCGGCATTTTTGCGGACTATCACAGCCGATATCCGGGATCAAGATGATTTAGAGCGCGATATCACAACACAGGCCAACGCCGCCTTGATTGAGGCAGAAGACAAGAAGGATAAGCAGCGCATTGAAAAGCTGGAAGCCACTAAAGATAAACTTGAGGCAAAAAGAGTAGATCAACGGAAGAAGCTGGAAGGAGCTCGACGTAACCCTTATCAGTCACGGATCATACAGAAGGAGCTCGATAAGCTGGACTTGGAGATTGAGAATGCCATCAACGACATCTCGGACTGCCAAGCTCGCATCGATAAGAGACAGGAAGAGATTGCGATTGTGGAGGATCCTGTCAAAAGCAAGTCTAAACGCTTGGCCGGCGAGTCGCACCGAGAATACCTCGTCCGGACCGGAAAGATCACGCCCTTTGCCAACATTGGTGGCGAACGACCCGATGGTTTCGAAGGCGAGCTAGCAGATGTTCTTGTCGAGGCCGAGCAAGACGCGGCTGCGGAGGAATACCAGAGCGACGATGAAGAGCCAAAGTCTCATCAAGTATTGCGCATGCCAGGCTTTGCTGAACATCCAGAAGCAGCTCCGGCATCCGTTGAGACCGAGTTTTCTCTACGACCAAGAAAAAAACGCAAGATGGATGAAGGAGCATCGTCCGATGAATTCGATGCATCGACTGTGAGTTCGGCTGAAAGCCAGTACGCTTCGGACACTAGTGAGGAAGAAGCCACAGGTCGCAAGCGGAAGAAGGGCACAAATACAGATAAGAAGAACAAGCATAAGAAGGCTGCGGAGAATACAGTCACCGTTGGTAATACAAAGGTCGACCTGAGCAGCGTCGACGATGGAAATGAGGCGATCTACCAAGCACGCCTTGCTGATTGGGTCAGGAGACGGAGTGCAGCTCGTCAACAGCAAAGTGCCAATGCTGCTGGCGACGCCTCAATTGAAGATAATGGCGAGGAGGAATGGTTTAAACCCTCGCCTGATCAGCCTGACCACGAATTCGGTAACGGGCTGAGGCTCCCGGGAGACATTCATGCGTCGCTGTTCGCGTATCAAAAGACCGGCGTTCATTGGCTCGCTGAGCTTTATGAGCAAGGCGTAGGTGGCATCATCGGGGACGAGATGGGCCTTGGAAAGACAGGTAAGAAGTTTTGGTAACAGATGAACGCAATCTTACTAATAAGCTTAACAGTGCAAGCAATTGCTTTCGTTGCGGCGTTACACTACACCAAGAAGCTCGACAAGCCCGTCATAGTAGTCGTCCCCGCGACTGTCATGCAGCAGTGGGTTAATGAATTCCACCGATGGTGGCCCCCTCTAAGAGTGTCGATTTTACACTCGTCTGGTAGCGGCATGGTCAATGTGGCTGAGGATGATGATGATGAAGATTATCCTGGAGATAGGACGAATCGTGACGCCGCAGAGCGTATCGTCAGGCGCGTTGCCAAGCATGGACACGTTCTGGTCACCACGTACGCTGGCTTGAACACCTATGGCGAGCAACTGCTGTCCCTGGAATGGGGCTACGCCATCCTCGACGAGGGCCACAGGATTCGCACCCCTAATGCAAATGTCACATATCAAGCCAAGTGTCTCAACACACCACACCGCCTGATCCTGTCGGGTACGCCAATCCAGAATAACCTCACCGAGCTGTGGTCTTTATTCGATTTCATTTTCCCTATGCGACTAGGGACTCTGGTCAACTTCAGACAACAGTTTGAGATTCCTATCAAGATGGGTGGGCACGCGAATGCGACTAATCTTGCGGTCATGACTGCTGAAAAATGCGCGACGACTTTAAAGGAAACCATTAGCCAATACCTGCTTCAGCGGCTCAAGGTCGACGTGGCATCAGACCTGCCGGAAAAGACGGAACAGGTGCTGTTCTGCAAGCTAACGCCGGAACAAAATGAGGAGTACGTCAGGTTCATTCATTCGGATGCGGTCTCTCAAATCATGGCCAAAAAGCGTCAATCACTCTACGGAATCGATATTCTGCGGAAGATCTGCAACCATCCGGATCTTGTTAGTGTGAACAGGAAGAACCAACCAGGATACGATTGGGGAAGCCCCAGAAGATCTGGCAAGTTGCAAATGGTTGGCGACCTTCTTCCGATGTGGAAGAAGTTTGGGCACAAAACGCTGCTATTCTCCCAGACCAAAATCATGCTCAACATCATCCAGGACTATATCGGCAAGATGGAGGGAATGAACTACCTACGCATGGATGGAGACGTTACTATCGAGAAGAGACAAATTCTGATCGACAAGTTCAACAACGATCCCTCCATTGACGTGTTCCTGTTGACGACTAAAGTGGGCGGCTTAGGTGTAAACCTCACCGGAGCGACCAGGATCATCATCTACGACCCTGACTGGAATCCGTCAACTGACTTGCAAGCGCGAGAGAGAGCCTGGCGACTCGGCCAGACAAAGCCAGTCGCCATTTACCGGCTAATGACTTCGGGCACTATCGAGGAGAAGATTTACCACCGCCAGATCTTCAAGCAATTTATGACGAACAAAGTCCTCAAAGACCCGAAGCAGCGGGCCAACTTCGATCTCTCTGACCTTTATGACCTCTTTAGCTTTGGCGACAATAGCCATAGTATGGCCAGCGCCAATAGAAGCAAGGTCTTTGAGGGCGCGGAGGTCAAGTTCAACCAGTCAGAGGGCCACAATCAGCTGGAGAAGCCGTCAAAGAACGCCGTTCCCATCTCCTCCGTCAAGGCAGAAGACGAAGTCGACACGGTCCGCAAGCTTTCCGGCGTCGCTGCAATGGAAGAGTTCACGGAGCCTACAGATGACAGCGAGGAGAAGCGCATTACCGAGAATCTGTTTTCTCGAACTGTGGATAGCGCCTACGAGCATGACCAAATCATGAATGGTAAGAAGAAGGTGCAGGCTGACCAGGCCATGAATCGACACGAAGCGAACAAGATAGCGGCCCAGGCTGCCGCCCATTTGCGACGAGCTGGAGAGGATGCGCGCCGCATCCCCATCGGAACTGTCACCTGGACTGGCGAGATAGGCGAGGGAGGCCGACCTACTGCACCGCGACGCCGCGGAGTGAATTCTTCGGCGGTCATGTCTTCCCTTGCGGATCGTCAGGGTCTCAGCCAGCCGGCCAGCGGCTCCAGTTCACGGGGCAATACTCCAGGTACGGACAAGCCCTTGAAGGAGAAGGATTTCATACCCCTGATCCAGACTTTCATGAGACGTCAAGGAGGCAAGGCAGTGACTAAGATGCTGGTTGATCACTTCAATCCGTATTGCAAGACTCCAAAGCAGACGGACGACTTCAAGAGTGCGTTGGACAGGGTAGCCGTCCTGGGGAAGACGGGTGGCACGGGTAGGGGTACTTGGACGTTAAAGCCTGCTTTCAAGTAGTGGCTGAACAGTCCCAGTTTCCCTTGGGCGACTTGAGGGCAATCACGTAAATATTGAGTGTCAGGAGAATGGCGTTCCGGGCAGGAGTGGTCGCTTTCAGCCTTATACCGCGGCATAGATCCGCGAAGACATATCGAAACGACATCTCAGGCTTTCATATAATCAAGATTTGAGATCAGTGAAGCAGTGATGTAGACTACTCGGTGATTCACACTTCACATCACAGCATCGCATTATGTGCACAATTTTGTCGAGGGTTCAGGAGCTACTCTTCAGTTCAGGCCATATATGGCGAGTTTCTATTCTGTCTACGATAGATACTGTCGCCCGCAGCAGAAGGCATGTCACAGTGCGTAGAGGTAGAGTGGGGACCAGGCTAAGGCGCCGTTCCCCGCGTTTTTCGCGATGCCACCAAGAAACCAAATAATGAGCGCTCCTGTCCCACGGAAGCCAACCAGGTAATAATGTAAAACCGGGCGCTCAGAGACGACGACCGCGGCGACCACCCTTTCTGCGGGTAGAGTCGGAGGGCGTGGGGGTGACGTCCTCAATGCGGCCGATCTTCATGCCGGAACGGGCCAGGGCACGGAGAGCAGACTGGGCACCGGGGCCGGGGGTCTTGGTGCCGTTACCTGAAGATTTGAATCAGCTCGACGGCTCGTGAGGGACTGTTGGAGGGTTCAAGAACTTACCACCGGTGGCACGGATCTTGATGTGGAGGGCAGTGATGCCGAGCTCCTTGCAGCGGGTAGCGACGTCCTGGGCAGCCAACATGGCAGCGTAGGGGGAGGACTCGTCACGGTCGGCCTTGACCTTCATACCACCAGTGACACGGCAGATGGTCTCACGGCCGCTGGAATCACCCAGTTAGCCATCTTGCACCATCACGGGTATTGATAAAGTCTTCATGTTCGCCAGCGAGGGAGGGGTATTCCGGAACTCGCAGGCAGAACGTTGGATGGTGAGACCTACGAAAGATCGGTGACGTGGACGAAGGTGTCGTTGAAGGAGGCGAAGATACGGGCAACGCCGAAGACGAGCTCGCCTGAAGATCGCGGGGTAGTTAGCAAAATTGCTTCATTTTATCATTTTGCGGTCGGCGCATGCGGTTTGAACGCGCGACGTCACAATCCATTGGGACGCAGGCAAAAACTCACCCTCGCGGACCTGGGGACCCAAGGAGATGTTCTCCTGGGCGGGACGGACGGTCTTGGACTTGGGAGGCATCGTGACTGCTGTGTTTGACGAATTGTCTTTCGGTGGTGGTTAGTCGGAGTGGTTGGCAAAGGTAAGCTCTCTCGATCCGTCGCTCGCAATAATCCCAAACGAAATTTCACAAAGCCCAGCCCTGCACACACGAACAAAAAAAGTGGACGAGAATGCCCTGACGGGGGTCGGGCGGTTGGCGGCGGCAGAAGGACCTAGATTGGCTTAGCCGTTCGAGAAACCCTACCTAAGCGAGAAAAAACATGGGCGGTGAGAATTTCAATTTGCTGGTGGTGGCCCATGCACCAGCCCCAGCGGAGCCTGCGAAATTTTGGGTAAAACTTCTGCGATTCCGCGGCCTTTTTCCTTTTCCCTCTTCCTTCTGATCCAGCGACCAATTTTCGACGACAACCGCCGACGACAACCAAACCCGCCTTCACAATGGCCGCCACCACGTATGTACACCAATGCTCTTGAGAAGCAGCGGCAGCATTTCCCCCTTCGTTCCGTTTGCGATGTCTTGCAGATTGTCGTGGTCCTCTCGCTGGAGTCCTTGCTTCACCTCGTCGTGAATGCCTGGCTCTCAGCTCGAACCCTCCTGGGCAACCTCCCTCCTTCCTTCATGACCTGGAATATGGCTTGCGGATTGAGAGACGGTGCTCGGGGTGTTGGGGATGAACGGTAACCCGTTCTCCCTTAAAAACATTGCCGCTTGTCGGATTCTCCTCGCAGTGCTGAAAGGCTTGCTCGGAGACCCATACACATGCGAGCACATACTCTTGAACACTTTGCTGTGCTTCGAGGTGTTGTCGGATGAGCACAGTGCCACAGTAATTGCTCCCTTGGAGCTCCTACTACCACATGGTCTGCTCACCGATCAAAGTCATGAACTTCGAGTTAGCCACAGCGAGAATGTCGCGCTTCAGCTACAATTCTCGCACCGGCGCTCTACCCATGCTGCTTGCAGTATGTCGGACTGCGTACTAATCTGATTTGCTACAGTTCCGTCCCCACCTCCAACCAGGTTCTGGTTCCGGAGACCCTTCTCAAGAAGCGCAAGTCTCAGGAGAAGGCTCGCGCTGAGCGCAACTCGGCCACCGAGAAGCGCAAGGCTGTAAGTATACCTCTGTTTTCACTACCTACCCCTTCCCCCGCCTTCATGATGCATAACATACCTTTCACAACTAGACTACGGTCGATGCAGTTGGAATTAACCTTCTTTCGGGTCTGACACTTGCCGGATCATTCACATCTTCAATGCATATCTGATCCAAGAAACACATTGCTAACATGTTTCCCAAAGGCCAACAAGGAGAAGCGTGGTGTCATCTTCAAGCGTGCTGAGAAGTACGTCAAGGAGTACCGCGACGCAGAGCGCGAGAAGGTCCGCCTCTCCCGCGTTGCCCGCGAGAACGACTCCGCCTACGTTCCCGCTGAGGCCAACCTGATCTTCCTTATCCGCATCAAGGGTATCAACAAGATCGCCCCCAAGCCCCGCAAGATCCTCCAGCTTCTTCGTCTCCTCCAGATCAACAACGGAGTCTTCATCAAGATCACCAAGGCCACCACCGAGATGATCAAGATCATCGAGCCGTGGGTTGCCTACGGTTACCCCAACCTCAAGTCCGTCAAGGAGCTCGTCTACAAGCGCGGTTACGGAAAGGTCAACAAGCAGCGCGTCGCTCTCACCGACAACTCCATCATTGAGGAGAATCTCGGCAAGTACGGCATCGTCTGCATGGAGGATCTCATCCACGAGATCTACACTGTCGGCCCCAACTTCAAGCAGGCCTCCAACTTCCTCTGGCCCTTCAAGCTCTCCAACCCCACTGGTGGCTTCCGCCCCCGCAAGTTCAAGCACTTCATCGAGGGTGGTGACCTTGGCAACCGCGAGGAGAAGATCAACGCCCTCATCCGCCAGATGAACTAAACTGGTCGTTTGTACGGCTTCATGATCAACAAAAATGGGGATTTGGCAGGGTTTGTCTAGTTACTCGGGACTTCGGCAGGTTTGAGAATACCAAGGGTTTATTACATGATTGGCACGGTTGCACGGCGTTGATAACCACAAAAGGGAATTTGTGAATTGATCATTTGACGACCACTGGATTCTCCATCCTCCTTGTTCAATGGGTAGCAATGCGAGCCTCTTCAGAGATTTGTATGTGTGTACTGTGCATGTGTGACTGTCGTGATGTATCACGGCATCCAATGTCTTGATCCAGGAGGAGGGTTCGTACGCATTACATTAATATTGTACAAGTGGATGCGGAGCGCCCACTGGACTCGTCCCTTGTAGAGCCATGCTGAGTCATCTTCAGATCTTGATGTCGAAGCTGGTCCCACATCCACAGCTGCTTGACGCATACGGGTTGTCCGTGATCTTGAACTGGGACCCAATAAGCTCCATCGTAAAGTCCACCTTGCTTCCCTTCAGCAAATCCAGCGAAGGCTCGTCAATCACCACCTTTGGTCCCTCAAACGTTACGCTGGTGGGGTCGGCATCTTCTGGTAGGTATTGGAACACGGTATCGTCCTCCCCAACGACCTTAGACCAGTCCTCTGCGCTCTCGCCCTCGGGTAGGGTAACTAGGCTCATGAGGTACTGGAAGCCGTGGCAGCCTCCGCTCTCGACTTGTATCCTCAGGGCTAGGTTTGGGTTATTGTCCTTCTTCATGATAGTTGCTAGACGCTATTGACGCAGAGAGAAGCTGTTAGGTTTCGGAAGCTCCTTTGTTCGATGCTCGGGTACACGTAAACTACACATACCTTGCCTGCTCGATCCGTGATATCGAGCTTCATCTCTTGCCCTTCCTCATCTGTCTTCGGGTTCCAGGCGCATCTCGTCTGCCTCCTCGTCGCGGAGGCCGTGAGGGCTCGGGTCTGCTGTCGCACCGTCCTCCCAGCAAAGCGCTGGGGCATCATCCTCCTAGAAGCACCCTGGGTGCAGTGTTGTCGGGTTGTGCCGAAGCCGGCCTTGCTAGTGGTGGTAGTGGTCGTGGTCGTGGCGGACTTCCATCTCGGGACAAGTACCGAAAGGATCGGTGCCGGGGAGTTCGACGTCGATGTTGTACGGCGCGCAAGCTGCACGAAGATATTTGCACTCGAGGGGCTATGGATACACCGAAGAGAGGCCATTTCGAGCTGCCTTGTGGCGATGCTGAGGTCGTGACAGTGGGTATTCGTTGAACGGGGGGCGGCAGTCGAAGAAAATTGAAGATGCTAATATTCGGTAATAAGGTAATAGCTTATGATGTGAAAGGTGGTGGGCGGTAGGTGGCGGCAGTTGATTGTTTGCCGCATTAGTCAGCCCGGGGGGCTCGATGGTTTTTACCCAATGGTAGTAGACGGATTTCAACTCCACGACTATAATCTTCAATGACGCTTCATTATTTCTCTCCTTGGACGAATTGCATATCGTTGCAGTAGCCTTTTTCATTTGCTTTAGTCAGAAGGATTTCTTCCTTGTTAACTGTCTTTGCAGATGAGCCTATGGCTAAGGTGTTCAAGCTCGGTTCGGTCATCGCTGTTGTCGGAGCCGGCCCCTCGGGGCTGTGGAGACCATCGGAGGCTGCAGCTGCAATCGCCGAGGTTTCGGGACGGCCCCGGGATTTTGAGATTGGAACTCAGGAGGCAAGCCTCTATCGTTTGACCGATCCCAAGTTTTCGTAAAATGAGTGGCTTTTTTTTTTTTTTGCTCGACACGTTCTGCAATCTGCGCCTTTGAATGGCCATATGACCAGATACAGGACGGGCTGGACGTGACGGTTTCCCTTACGTTGTGTACTAAATTTAACGCCCTATATTGATAGGGTTCAACTTGTGTTCCTCCTTACAGTACTCGATACTTGCCCCAACCATGTACCTACCTACTGACGTAGCAGGTTAGTTCATCCATTGAAGGAATCGATCTTTCATAGTCGCCTGCTTTGCTTGTTCTGCGTCTTATCCGAAATCATCCGGATCCCCAAGATGATATACTGTAGCTTCCTTTGACGGGCGAGTTTGATAATAAGAAGCAGAGAAACGGAAGCTTTGATCGAAGCTGAAATGCAACGTTTCGTGCGTAAGGTACCTTAGCGTCTAGCGACCATGTTATCACCTGTTTAGGGTTCATTCACTTTCTGACGACTTGAAGTCGGGCAGTCGAGACATAATGACACAAAGCTATGGCAAGAGGCACCAATGATCCTGGACAAGTCTGGTACCACAATCCTCGATTCTCATAAGGAACATCAGGGCCGCCCTTTCCGTTCTGCCCCTTCTTACTACATACACCTGCATAGCTTCTGATTGCGGATTGCACCTTCTGATCTGAATTTCCCAACCCCCGGCGAAGGTACCCCTGACTATTTCTATGCATCTGAGAACTATCGACGGTGCATCGTCCAAATGGTTCTTCAACTTCAACCACACGACCACCCTAAGACCTTTTCTCAAGAATAACTTAGACTCTACCTAAAGATACCTACTGATTACTTCCATTCTCAATGTCATTCGTGATTCACAAACTCGGCCTTGCCGACAATTTCAAGCCAACGCGACACAGAGCGGCAAGACCCCATTTCGGTCGAGGCGGAATCCAAGTCCCAAATCCTGGAGGCACGGCAGACATGTCGAGCTTCATGAAACACGCGAGAGACGTCGCCGCTGGCAAGGGTCTGCAAAACGACCAGACAGTTTCTCCTGAACAGCCGCCACACACGCCTCAGGTTACACCCCTAGAAGTCCTCTGTCTCGCCATTGCCATCTTTGTTCTTGCGTGTATCCTCGGTTTCATTGTCCTGATTGGTATCAAAACTAGGCGCTCCCGCGCACAACATGAGGCCAATAGCTTTCCGGAGAGCAATGGTCGGGAGAGATGGGATGCACACGACACAACACAGGTTTTCATCAACGGCGTCCAGCGACGGAGCGACTCGGTGGCGGGACAAGAGAGAAACGAGTTGAGTCTCCTCGAGAGGGACGATACGGCATCCCTTGCACCAAAGCACATCTTCAGGCCTTGGAGAGCCCCCGCTAATGAGCGTACCAGCGGGATCGGAAAGTTCGACGGCACATCGACGGGGCTTTCCAACGACACATCCCGGGAATTAGAACAGCACTCCATGGCCGACACTCAAGGGTCGATTGGTCCGAACGCTGAATGTTTACCCGCACATTGTGGCCGTAGACCATCGAGGCGCTTCGACGAGCAGGGTGTGAACGGGGGTTCAGGACCAACGCCCCATCCGTAGCAGCTGGGCGGTAGCACGCAAGCAAGACAGGACAGGACAGTCAAGAATGGACAGACAAATAAAAAGACTCTATTCCCTCGCTCGTCCCCGCCTTAACCTAGTATACCGGCTCCTCAGGGTGATCGCACAAGGGCCCGCCGGCTTCTGACTCCCTAGCGAGCTTCACGTGCGTGTTGCGTAGTATGTTTGTACAGCTGTATTCCGATCCGGATCGCGTCGTCTATCGATTCGACGGTCGTGGCATCTTATGCCTGCTTCCTGATCTCTCTGGCGGCCTGCTTCAGGCTGGAGTTGCACTCCTCGTATGCGCGTCCGGCTCCGAAACCGACGCCGACGAAGGCGGGCCACGCTCTGCGCTTGAAAAGGAGGACCGAGAAGACGACACCGAAGCCAAGACCAAGGGTAGACTTGACGAGGAGGTTGGACAGGCAGTGGTCCCACTAGAAGATGGTCAGGGATCTCGGGTTATCGACGTTGGTGACGGCTTGGGGGAGCTACCTTCTCGTTGAGAAGTGCCTCACTGACAGGGCGCGCGACGGCGCTCGGGGGAGGGGGAACAGAGGTGTCTGACATGGTCGTCGATACCCTAAGGAGCTGATCGTCAGTGTCAATGGATCAAACGAATAGCTGGGGAGCGGTGCCTACACAATTGACTCGATGCGCAATGGTGTTGTCGAGGTCGGAGCTTAGCTATGGAATTGAACCAAGTGATGTTTTCGGAGAGAGCCGGCAAATTGATGATGAACACCCGAGGGCGGTAAGTTTCGGTGTAAGTCCAGGTGACCTCTTTGGATCAGGTGGGGCGGCAGAATCCCGAATTTTTGGGAAAGCTCCAGCCAAAAATCGCGGGGAGTCGATGCGACTTACACCTGAGCGCACTCAAAAGATCTGCACGTCTTTTGAAGTCCCTCGTGGTTGGTTGCCTATCATGGACGTGGAAATGACTGATGCAAGCCCAAGCAGGTCTTCTGAGACCATTGTAAGTTCTTCAGTCATATTTAACTCCATCCTTGTCTACTAACCGCTGTTGAAGACGTCGGACAGGGACTTGGTCAAGACAGTGCGATCTCTCGACCAGACGGGCCCTGGAGCCAATGGCGAGAACCTCGACCGAGTATGGAAGCAGCTCACATCTGCCAGCCAGGGGCCCTTCTCTGCCGCTGAGGAGAGCGTCCTCCGATGGCTTCTCAAAGTCATGAAAGCGAACAACGACGAAGCCGACACGATCCGACGATTTCCCTTGACATGGCGCATTCTCGACTGCGCATTCCAAAGGATTCCTCTCTTTTCACTCGCAAAGTCCCTCGCCGACCGAAAGTTCATGGCGGTTCTTCAACAAACTCTCAAGAGCGTCGCGAAGCCGAGCACCGAAGCCCAGGCCTTTGGTTCTACATCGAAGAAGAGGAAGAGGAACAATGCCGCAGTCTTTGAGCTGAAGACGCTGCAGTCTTTCGAGGGCTGTCTAGGCACGGGGGAGGCCATCTTTGGCGCATTGAAGAACCTGCTTGAACGACTGGACCCGGCGGCACAATGGTCCGCCCACGATAGGATGGGAGCAGAACATATCAAGGCACTCTTCGCCCAGCCTGCGACCGAGGCTGTAGAGTTGCTTTCGCCTCTGCTTTCACTTTGCGATTTCTCCTTGGAAGCGTCAGATACCGAGCCATTTGAGGCGCAAGAGTCATGGGTGAAGGTGTTCTCATCCGCCTGGGACCTGCATCTTCATGGGGGCACGGATGCGCTCGAAGTCGCGACTCACCTCTCGCGCGTATCCTTCTCTATTCTGGGCAAGACTAAAAACCAGTCGAGCAACGATGACCAAGTGGCCAAGGTATGGACGCGCGATCTCGAGAAGTTCCTCCAACGCAACCTTGTTCTGCCGGCAAGGTCGGCATACCTCAACAAAACCGATCTCGAGGTCGTCATTCGCTGTTTTGCTATGATACAGAACATTGCCTTGACCTCAGTTCCAACTTTCTACAGCCTAGTGTCATCAGCCCCGAGAGTTGTTGGAGGACTCACAACAACAAAGGCTGAGGAGGCCTGGATGCAGGAAGTTTTCAAGATGTCTGAGCGTGCCATGAAGCAGTTGTCTGCTAGCGAAAAGTCGCATGCGATGGGAGGAATTCTCGACGAAGCAACCGCGAACAAGTCTCACATCGCTCGGAGTGACCTTCTGTCAGTCTGCGAGTCTTACGCGTTTCCTGATGATCAGAGCGAGACTGACTGGCGTCTCTTGTCGCTTGTTGCGAGATGTGACGCGGATGTCTTTTTGCAATCAGAAGAAGGCACGCAACTCTTCGACCAAGTGTGCGACAGGATTACCGCAGTCGGCGCGGAGGCCGACGAGGGCATTATGCGGCAGCTGATCGAGTCGCTGATAACTAGCTTTGAAAATGCCCGCGATCTATCAACATTCCTGAAGACGTGGTTCAATCAACTCTCGAAGTTCGAAGACAAAAAGCTGCGCTCCGGAGACCGGCCAGTTTGGTTTACTAGAGTGCACCGCAACCCGACGCTAATTGGAGGCATTCAGAAGTCCTTGACCACCAAGCAGTTGGTCAATCTGCTGCAATGGGTTGAGGAACAGCAGGAACTCCGTCCGGCTGCAGTCTTCATCTTCCTCAACACCCTCGCTTCTGCAATCACCAAAGACGACTATGCCGATGCGGTTGGAAGCAAGCTTGCCGACATTGCATTGAACGTCGGGTCGGCCAGCAAAACACCGTCAGACATTCGCTCCCTACGTTGGAGAATCATCTCCAAGACTGTTTCCTGGCTAGACTATGACCAGGCCACCGCTCTCTGGGATAAGGTCCAGACAGATCTCACAAAGGCATTACAAATAGCCAAATTTGACGACGAAGATACATGCGAGGCCCTGGAGTGCGTATATAACTTCTGGCTATCAATGTATCCCGATGGCCGCGACCAGACTGCTCTTTCTTCCTTGCTTACAACCTTCGTCGAGAGACTATTGAAGAAGGTCAAGGTGGAAGACCTTCAGAGTCTCTTCAATTCTCGAGATTTCGCAGTTTCAGATACCTCTGATGTCCCCAAGTTTTGCGCAGAGTTCCCCCTTGCGGCTTCGAGACTCGTGGCTCTTCTTGCGAAGTCCTCGGGCGGTCTGCCGGACTACTTACAACGCGCCTTGAGTGAGGAGACCTCTTCCAAGGGCAGCGAGGTGAAGCTGAGCAACGTGCTACACGCAGTGGCCTCAAACGAAAACAACCTTTGCACAAGGAAGCTGACAGCCGACGTGGTGGATCACGCCATCGACATCATCAGCAAGGCCTCAGCAAAGTCTTCCCCCTGGGTTGAGCAGCGGAGCAGGGCCGCCATGATTGAATTGTCAAGAATTCCCGACGAATCTATCACGAGACAACAGAGGGAGCGTCTCATGGAAATCTTGGTTCCAAAAGTCCACGCGGTAGGCCAACTGGATTCTTCGGACTGGCATCTGGTTCTGGGATTCTTGGTCAAGCTGATGTCAAGGCCAACTTTCTACCAAAACATGTCATTCTCCGACCTTCAAAAGATTGCCGACTCACTGTCAAAAGTCTGCGCGGAGAGCAACTCAAGGACGGCTCTCGGCCTGTCCCAGCTCGTGTCACAATTGGCGACATTGACCGTGCGACAAATGAACGATCACCAGGAGTGGCGCACGCAATACTTCGACAAGATCCCCGCTCTTCTGAAGGGCCTAGATGGCGATGCCTCCTCTGTGCAAATGACTCTATTGAAGGCACTGCTCTCCGTTGTGCTTCCTGAAGCTGGTTCTGAGGACAAAGTTGCTGTCATTGACGGCGATCAAATAGCTTCAGCCTTGGGAAGTCTCATTCAAGACACCTTGAGTGACTTTTCCAAGGCCTCACGAAAGCAGAAGGTCAAGGGAGATGTCGTCAACCGCGCTCTAATTGCACTCGACGCAGCCGAAGCTTTGCCAAAGCCGGCCGTCGCAGGGCTCAAGATCAAGGTGTCTCAGTTGGAGGAGGTGAGCCAGCAGGCGATCACGAATGGATACTTCAGCGGCTGGAAGCTTCAGGCATTCCTCATCCAGTATTTCCCGTCCAAAATTGCAGCTGCTCGGCCGACCTCCTTTGGCCAGCTTTTCAGCAGCACGCTGCCCACGCCATTACCGAGTGGCGCAGTGCCTGATCCCCTTTCTGACTTCAACCGACAATCTACGTTAGAAGATATCGTTGACGCCGCTGTCGCCGGTCTTGACTACAATGGGAAGGTTCAGTATGTGCAGAGCCTTCTTGAAGGCGTTGAGGCAGACACCGCTCCGGCAGCCGGTTCGACTTCCGAAGGCCAGCTCCTTGCCATCCGCCGTGTGGTTACTCAGATGACCGGTAGGTTTCATTCCCTCCTCGCATTTGGTTGATGCTTATAAAAATCATAGAATCCCTCGTCGGTCATGAAGAGTCAAAGACCTTCGACCTGGCCACAGCCCACGGCAAACTAATCAGGTACCTAGCCCAGGCCGGAACTGTACGCGAATTCGTCAGGACTGCCGAAGTCCTGCAGCAGCTGCTCGACGTCAAGTCGGACTCCATGACCCAGTGGAACATCGAGACGACACTCAGCACGGTGGCAGCAATCGTCTCCAACGACCAAAGTCACCTTCTCGACGCGTCGCCGAGCGTATACCATTGGCTCTGCAAGCTGATGGAGGTTATCATCAAGAAGCATCGCCTCCGGTTGGAAGGCCACTACCACATCCTCGTCACCACCCTCGAAACCCTGCTCAGCGCCCTCGCCCACCCCTCATCATCTACACAACAACGGGCCAAGCACGCCGCACAATTCACCCGTCTCGTCACCCTCGTGTGCGAGCCCGCCGCCGCGGCAGTCTCCCGCGTGCAGCATCTCAGCGCCCTCGACTCGGCGACCGACGCGGCGAAGAGGTCGGCCGGTCGGCACATGTACCTCGTCCTCATGGCGTACGTCAAGCTGCAGCTGGACGTCGACGTGCCGCGCGAGGTCCGCGAGGCGTTGGAACCCGGCATGAACTCCGTGTTTGACATCACGCCGCTCGAGGTGAGGAAGATTCTGAATGATAGCATGGATGCCAGTGGCAGGGCTATCTTGAGGGAGATGTACAAGAGGTATACCAAGTTTGGCAAGTGGAGCGGTGTGTAAAGAGGAGGAAGCGTGGATTCGCGGAGGCCTGTGTGCAAGATACCCTAGACATAATGAAGCATTTTGGTCAAAGATAATGTATACCCTCGATTCCGGTGTACCCGGCTGTGCTGTGTGCAGGTACTTGCTCTGGTCTAATCTTGGCCTAGACGGGAAACTAACAAAGTTCCCATCGTGCCCAGGTTATGTACTACGTGCCCCTGATTGACTCCATATCCTGCTATCAGCCCTGTGCTCAGGGCAAACATATGATATGGCGTAGGTGATGCAGATGGAATACATATCGACGAATACACCACAACCACCCCCACCCTAACATCTATAGGATGAAGATCTTTGAAAGGAAGGCATGAGCAGCGTCTAAAGTGTCCAAGACCTAGTAGTAGAAAGTGATAAACGCATAATTGGGTCCTTATAAAAGGTTGCGA